TTTCTTATTGTTCAAGATATATGCATTGTAGAATGCTGAAAAGCTAGAGAAAAACAATCAAATTAGCAGAAATAATATCTGAATCATCTATTACCAAAGTTAGGATTTTGGTTTCAATTTTTCCAGGCTTTTTGCATACCAAACCCCAACCTCATGCACTCATGCACTCCATACTTTTTTAAAAGTCAGTTTAATGGGATGATTTTTTTAGAATCAGGTATTTAGTGTTTATTGTAGCTATGCAATCATAATGCCTACCCTGATACCTCTGCGGTGCAGCCCCTCTGAGGCTGGAGTGGAGATGAATGGTTGTCCTTCCCTCCTGGAGCTCCTAGTCCAGTGGAAGACGCTAGGCAGGATGCAGAGCGTCAGAGCTGGAATCACAATTTAGGGTGCTAGGATGGAGGCACGGAAGAAGGGAACCGGGAGTGAGCAGAGGTAAAGGAGCTTCCAGAGCCACAGGCTTGAATGCGGCAGCCAGTGGAAGAGTGCCCCAGGTAGAAGGGACAGCAGCTCTGCAGACCTTCCTGTGTGGGGGCCTGAAGGGATGTTGGTACCATGGGACTAGAAGAAATTAGGAAGCAAGGTGGAGGGGAGCCCAGGGCCTTCTAAGGCAGAGGATGGATTTTAGTTTAAATCAAGCAAGAAGCTACAAATACATTTCAAGCAAGAACATGTGTTACTTAATCTCATACATTTTGCAAAGGCACACTTCTGAGCAATGTGTGCAGAACATGGTGCTAGGGGACAGATCAGTAGAGACAAATTAGGAAGCCACTGTGTTCGTCTGGCATCTGGCAACAGCAGCTTGGCTCTGGAGATGGAGAAGACACAAAACCCTGATGTGTGCTGGGGGACCAAACCCATTGTAGGAGGGGGTGGTCAGCTCATCTTCCAGATTGCTGCAAAGGTGCTGTTTACTGATATGGATTAGTCTGAAGGAAGACCAAGTTTGAGTTATTTTCTTCTGAGGGGAGGTGAGGCTAGAGAAACCAAGAGACCCACTTTGGGCTGAGGTATTTGAGATGCTGGAACCACCCAAAAGGAAGTTTTAAGTAAGCAGTTACATCTATGAGTGTGCAGTTTGCATAAGAGGTCTAGGCTGGAGTCTGAAAGGGGATCATTGATCTTGGCCCTGGTCTTGGCCCCAGATTTGAAGAACAGGGTACACGAGATCAGAGGAGGCCCTGGAAAGAGTTCTGTAATTGGCAAAAGAAAGAAAAGTCCACAAAAGGGACAGAAAAAGGACAGACATTGAGGTTGGGTTGGGAGGCAATCTAGGAACACAGTTTTAAAAAAAGCAGAGTGACTTACCTTTCATATCCTAATTAAATACAGATCGTCCCTGACTTACAATGTTAAAGTTATGATTTTTGACTTTACAATGGATGGAAAGCAATGTGCATTCTTTAGAAGCTGTATTTTGATTTTACATTTGGATCTGTCTCTGGGCTAGTGACGTGTGGTGTGATACTCTCTTGTGATGCTAAGGCACCACCCAGGCAGCCACGTGATCACAAGGAAAGCAACTGACATCCTCCAGCATCCTGTGTTGCTGAGCTATGCTGGTGGGTAGGTAAAGGGCTTTAGAGTATTCCTGACTCACAATATTTTTCACTCACAATGGTTTTATCAAGATAGAACCATGTCTTAAGTCAAGGAGCATCTGTATTCTAAATGTTCAGTTCTAAATTTGGCCTGATATTTTATTGAATGGATGTACCATAAATGATTGAAATCCCTACCGGTCTCTCCTGAAGACACTTTAGTTAGAGCATACTTGAGTTGCAACATTTTTGCACTTGAGATGAAGATCATGACAGTAAATCTTCAGGTACATACATAATTAATTTTAAACGTGGGGTTTCAGAAGCAGGACTATAGAAAATTAATAATAAAGGCTTTAACATTTAATATATGATGTCTTTTCAGGAGTGTTTATGAAGACTTTAAGGAAATTAAACTGCATAATTCCAGTCAAAAATAGACTCCTATAACGAAACCAATTCAGAATTTTAAAAGCCTCTAAAAGATACCTATTATGTACAAGAGGTTGTGAGGTAGATTTAAGAGCCCTTGAGATAGAAAAGGAGCCCCCACCGTTGCCTATGAAGTTGTAGAGAGTCAAAGCAATGCCTGTCTCCACATGGCATGTAGCTCATCTAAATTTCTCTTAGTTTCATTCTAGTAGTTTTCCTTATCCATTCCAAACATTCTACAGCACTCTTTCCACAGTAGATATAGTCACACTTCAACTATCTTCATTTCAGTGTTGAAGAGCTTCTTCTCCTTGACCCTATCAATCTCCTGTCCTCTTCTCTTGCTAATGACCAGATTGGAGCATTTCCTCTGTATGGGTTCCTGGCACTGTGATTTGATTTCCGGTTGGGTAGAGAGCTGCCTGCATCTTCAGCCTCCATCAGTTGGCAAGAGATCCCGAGGGCTGTTTATTGCTGTAAGGCTTCACCAATAATAAGAATGACGAAACATGTGTTGAAACTAATCAATGCACATCTCACAGATTAGTAGTTATAATAGCTACCATACAATGACAATCACTTCTCCAATATACCATGCTGTGTCAATCAATTTACAGACTTAAATACTAATCTCAGAATCAACACTGCAATATAAATTGTATCTCCATTTTAAGGTAAGGAAAATCAATCAGTCCTGTATATAAACCATCTTCATTTTTCAGGTGAAAAGTTGTGAGAAACTAAAATACCATCTGCTGTATTACTGATTTTCTAGGGACAGAATTTAACTCAATTCTGCCTGACTTTGATGTCCATGTGTTTTATTGTCATACAAACTTGGTTGCCTGGATACAGAAAATACCACTCAGAGACTTACCATAAAATCGTTAGAATCCAAAGAAATCTTGATACTTTCCATTAGTAAAACTTCATTGCATGTTCTCTAAAGGATAAAATGTTTTCTCATGAACAAGTGTAGCAAATGCCTGAAAGAGAGAGAGACAGAGAGAAAGGAAAGAAAGGGGGAGAGACAGAGATAGAGAGAGATAGAGAGAGAGATAGAGAGACAAAGAGACAGAGACAGAGAGACAGACAGAGGAAGAAGGAAGAGGAAGAGAAGGAGGAGGAGAAAGAAGAGGAAGAGAAAGAAGAATGAAAGGAAGGAGGGAGGAAAGAGAGATCACACTGTTATTGCTTTGTAAATGAATGACTATAATCACAGGAATGAAGCTTTGTCCTCACTGGTGATCATTCCCCTTTGCCCTGCATCAGTCACTCTTTCACATCTGCCACAGTGCCCTAGGCCACACACACTTTTTAAAGCACTTAGAATCCTGAATTACTTTTGATGACAGCCAAGAAGTATTTTGTAGAGCCCGTGAATTAACTCCTACAAGAAAACCCATGGGCAACTCACTAGCTTCCGGCCCAAGAGGTCCACATGGACAGCAAGAAGGAGGAAACTGAGATCATTGCCTGTGTAGAGGCAAAGCACAGAACCTCCCTAAAGGAAACGGAGGCCAGCAGGCTCAGTATGGGCTTCCATGGAGCTTGGGCAGATGGGATAAATTACCTGCCCAGAGCTGACCATGCACTGCTGCCCACAGATGGCTACTTCCTCTCTGGTTGTGTGCTGGGTAGCACCTCTGGGCCCTGAGGTTGAGTGGAGCTCTGTGCCCAGTTCTGCAGTGAGTTTGTGCAGATAGGGTGTGTTCCTTTGTGGCAGAACACCTAAATCTCAGTGGGAGAGCTGATTTCTCTGACATGGCCACTGGCGGCATTCACCATGGTACCTGCTCCCTCTGAGGTCTCTGAATGCTTGGAAGAGTCAGAATCCTATCCAGGATCTTTATGGGCAGGGCATTAAAAAAGATGAGGTATAAACTTTGTCATTGGAAGTCTCTAGCATTTGAGAATTGTGTAACTGTGGTGGTATGTCCTAAATTGTTCTGATTTTTTGTTTCTGCCATGCTGTCCGATGAGGTGTGGTCACCTCCCCGTGGTGGGTGAGATGACGCCTTCTCTGTGCCAAGTTCTTCTCAGCCTTTCCCTCTCTGTAACCTGAGGACCTTTAACTGGCGTATAACATGAAGAGGGAGTCATGTTCCGTCCCACGTGTTTTCTGTTCTTTTCTTCTTTTAATGTTCTGTATCCTCTAAGGGTTGGACTTCTAAAACTTTAAAAGCTGCACTAAGCCTTTTCTGAGTCTTACCTAGGGATGAACAAGGGATAAGAAAATCTTATCTAGAAAACAAAACCACATCGTTTACTTTATTAAATTGTTATCTAGCTTATGTTCATCATTCTGGGTCCCTGTAAATCTCTTCATTAAACTGTGCTTTTGTGTGGTGCCACTTGATTAAACTGAAGGACACTTTAATAAATAGGTCTATGAAATTATTATTGTGAATGCTATCAGAATGTTGCCAAAGATGTTGTTTATTTCTACACATATGATCCTTTGTATGACATTACCTGGGAAAAATCATGGACACTAAGAATAGTCATGATTTTGAGCAATTGGCTTGTTTTGTATTATGGGTACTGTGATCTGTGCAAGTAACTAAATAGGAAGCCATTCATTCATTTGCATAATCAATAAAGTCATTCTCAATGCAAGTACGGTAAGGCAAAACCTAGTGGTAAGCTTGAACTTGGTGATGTCTGGCACAGTGTTTGGAGCAGGGCTCTGCCACGTTTGACCTTTATCCCTCTACTTTGCAGCTTGAATGCATTGACAGAGAGTGTTGTAGCTGTCCTCCAAGTGTGGAGTGTCCTTTATTAAACTGACAAAGGGACTGCAGAATTAACAAATAATGCATTCATGAGACTACACTAGGAAAGCCAACTTTGATTTGCTGTATTAGATATCCAGTTCCAATAAGAACAGTGAAAACTCAGATCACCCAATAATCCCTTCTTTAATGCTACCATTGACATTGTTGGGGCTGGTGGCTTTGTGGACAGGGTTATCCTGATGTACATTTTCCAGAAATCCCTGTTCTCTATGTGTCTACTTAGAGTGGGCCACAGGAAAATTCTTGAGATATTCTTTGGAGCTATCAAGGTAGAAAGGAAGCAGCAGCTGTCTTGGAGATCACTCACCATTGCCGAACAGCTACTCATCTTGTATGAACAAGGCTGAAGCTGGGCTACCTTCCCCTAGATCCTGCTTTCACTTCTTTGATTCTTGAGGAAGGTGCGTTCAGTTCTGTAACAAAGAGCCCTGGCTTCTGTATGACATCCACATCATGGAAGTTTTCCTTCACTGACTGAACCCTGTCTGGTACTCTGGGATTTAGAGAACACAGGATAAAAAATCTGCACAGAACACTGAAGTAAGTACTTTTTCTAAGTTTTTTCTGGGAAGCTCCGTTGCCATAATATTTTGTTTCTCTCAAAAGCAGTATTCCAAATATGACATTTCACTTATCACTGATGACCTTTTCTGCTGGTGGATTTCCATCCTCCTTTCCATCCACCCATCCATCATTCATCCATCCATCCATCCATCCATCCATCCATCCATCCATCCATCCTTTCACTCAACAAACAGGTCTTGAGAATCTAATATCTAATGTGTCTCAATCCCTTATCAGGTTCTGAGAATTTAGAAATAAATGAGTGGTGGGTAGAGATAGTCTGCAGTTGTGAAAATGTGATGGGAGATGACAAAGAGATGCATAATTTCATGATAGGAAATGGGGGGGAAGAATTGCCATTTCCTAGAAAAGTCCTGAGATTGGGGGGAGGGGTATCACAAGGAGATGAACAATGCAGGGCTGTCAATGACAAGTTCATCAGAAATCAATATTCTTTAAAATAAAATGAAAATCTAGCCATACACAATGACTTTGTTAAATGAAGTAAAGTGCATAGGTATAAGTACTCAGCACAAAGTAAGAGAAGATTGTGATTATCTTTTATACAAGCAGAATATCAGGTACAAGACAATCAGGTAAGTCCAGAAGAATGCTGTCTATTTTGATCTAGGTCTTTGGAGAGAATTCAGGGATAGATGTATGTATTTGGAAACTTTCAATGCCAATGTAAGAGATGGAGTGAAAGTTCTTGATTGAAGGACATGCAATTTGCCTCAGCCTTATGGCTCTGCACAGTCCAGTAATAGTAAAAATTGTGTGCATTTTCTTCATGCTTAAAGGGTCCATGGTTCTCCTGTTTATCCCAGGCTTTGAACTCCCCAGTTCCAGACTCTACTAGCTTTGTGTCTTGGTTTGTGCTGCTTGTCATACACTTTCTGGATGCAGCTCACTATGTACAGACTTTCTGCCTGTGGTTTCTCCATGGAGGTTGCCTGCAGTCACCCACTAACAGTGTCCTTCAGACTCCACTGTGTGCACCTGCAGTGAAATGGCAAGAAGCCCCACCCATCTGCCTTGGATACTGCCTGTATGATTCTCCTCTCTCTTTGTTCCCATCTTGAATTCCTTGCATGTCCTATTGATGCTACCACCAACCCTGCCTCGGTTCTCAACCACAGTCCTATTTCACTGAGAACAACACTGTGACTTCCTTACCGTTCTCCCTGCTTCTGAACTCGGACCCCTATAATTCATTCACTGCCCATATAGCAGCAAGACTGATCCCTTTAAATGTAAAGCTAATCATTTACTTCCTCTGCTTAAATCCTTTTGGTCACTTCTACCACTTAATATGAATCTGTTTCTTTACTGGGGTAGGGAAGGTCTTGGGTGGTCTGGCTCCTGGATCCTTCTACAAGACTGTGATGTGTCCAGCTTACCCCAGGGCACTGTGTGCCTCAGCCATCTGGCTCTCTTTTCTCTTGGAACAGGCTATACCCTTCTGCACCTCAGCTCATCCCATGTATTTACCACTCCACATAAAACATCTTTGTGAGAGTCCCAGTTCTTTGAGAGACTTCATTATTTAAGTCTTAGCTTGAATATCTTTGTCTCAGAAAAAATGATTTATTGTTATACAGTCCAAAGCAACCAGGCTTAGTCTGCATATGTGGCAATAACAGAGCATCATGGGCAGAGTGATAGAAACAACAGACCTTTATTCCTCACAGTTCTAGAAGCTGCAGTCCATGATCAAGGTATGGGTACAGTCGGTTCCTGGTGAGGGTTCCCTCCCTGGCCTGCAGATTTCCACCCTCTTGTTGTATCCTCTCCTGGAGGTGGGTGAAAGAGACAGATCAAGCTCTACTCTTTTCTTCTTCATGAAGACACTAATCCTATTGCAGCAACCCCATCTTCATGACACATATAACCTAATTTCTTCTCCAGATACCATCCTATTACAGTAGAGCTTCAATATATGAATTTTGGCAGGGGGGGGGGGAAAACAAACATTCAGCCCATAATAGAATCCCACCACATTGACCCAGTTACACACCACCCGTCACTGTCCTTATTGCCACCAGGCTTATTGCAGCTAGTGAACACTTGGTTCATTCATTTCATTTGTGATTTCTGGTTGATCTCTTGGGCTCCCAGTTCATACACTGTAACTGTATGAAGACACGTATTTCTCTTTGCTTTCCCTGGGTCTCCATTGCTTAGCACAGTGCCTAGCTCACAGGATGCTCAGAATGTCTGCTAATGAGAGGTCATCATTGCAGGGGTGTGTGTATGCATTTGCATTTTCTGTTTCTGAAAGAGTCATCCTCCCCTTCCTATATGGAAGATTTGACATGATAATTTATGAGCACATGAAAAGAAACAGAGGCTCATGTGCTAGGGAAGAATATGTTCTTAACATTATGTGTTCTCCTATTTTCACTTAGCTGTATTTCATTTTCATTCCAAGTTGGATGTAGTTCCGAATTTTTTATTTTGAAAAGAAATGTGGATTTTCTTTATCTCATCCTTTCCATTTACTTGATAATTGCATTATTTACAGAATTTCTTTTTCTATTTTCATTTTTGTTTCTCAATTTTTATAATTTTATTTATTTTTATTCAAGAGAATTTCTTGGGGATATAATTACAGAAGTGGAATTTCTGGTTCAAAATTGAGAAGAATTTTAAAGGTTTTATTACTAGTAATGCCTTCTTACAAAGATTTGTCCAATTGGTTATGACAAAATCCCTGTGCAACAGTTCTTGTTTCCCCTCAGACTCCTCATTGTGGACTTCAATCTTTGTTTTAATCAGTTGCACTTTGTCTTGCTAATGAATGCATGTTGGAAGGCACCACTGGAATGTTCACAAAGGACATGTCACAGTGTAGAGTCACCGTGTTCTGGAGCCAGGTTCTCATTTACACAATTCTATAAACTTGATCTTGTTAAAGCCTACGTGAGTTAAAATGTTTGAAGTCAGAGGAAACAGAAAACCCAATGCAAACTGGCTGAAAGCAGGAGACAGATACATTTGCTGAATCAGGATGCTGCTCCACATTTTCACCATTCTCTTGGACTTGCTTTCTTTTTCTTGTCTACTGGGCATTGATGTTGAGAGGAAACCTGTTGAAGTGGTTGTTCCTGCACAACACAGCAACCAGGTAATGAATGCACCTTAATGTTTCATGACTGTATTTTAAGATGGAGACTTTCCCCAAATAACTGTCCTACTTCCCATTGCAAAGATCCCACCCCCATGTTTCACTGACAGGAACTAGGTCTCTGGTTCCTTTCTGAAGTAATTATTATCTATGGTGAGAGGGTGGTCTTCAAACTGTGTTCCTCCGCCCATCCCAGACAACCCCCACAATCTATGATGGGTTACCAATTAAATCCAGGGATGGGAGGCAGCCACCAGGAAAGGCAGAATGCATGAAGAAAACAAAGAGTGCTGTTAGTAAAAGTAAATGGATAAATGGCATCAATTTCCAACAAAGCACTAAAATATGACCATGCTCACATTAACCAAACTCACAGAGACTGGAGTGCCAGGGAAAGTAAAGGTATACAGTAAGGAATAGGATTGCAGAGGGAAAAATAATGTCATGTTGAATAATAAATATATTTTCCCTGGATGTAAACAACATGTCAACTAGAATGATTGGGTTCACTTAAAACAATAGAGCACTAATTTCAGTTTGGTTATTCTTAATGGTCCATATCTTCAAGCTGAGGTGATTTATTGCATTATTTCCTTGACATGCCAGAGAGGCCAGGCAATCACAGCTCCTGGCCTAGGGTTTTCTGGTCTAGACAGTCCTGGCAACTACTGAGTTCTCAGTGTTAAATACCAACTTGAGAATACTGCATTCATAGCATAGTTTTCGTAAGACCAAACATAAGAGAAATTCCTAGGTTTCAGCTTTAAAAATTATTGAATTAAAATTACCTGGATTAGACAGTATTTCTGCATCACAGTTTATTTTTTGTAAAATTTATTCTCAGAAAGTGGTTGGATTATCTTTCAGGAAATATATCATGTTCCTTCCTCGTATGATCTACCTGCCTATGGCTGTTGCCTTGCTTCCTCTATTTGAGCAGAAGTGGTTCTTTCCTGCTCTTAAGGAAGTAAAAACAGGCCGGGGATGTAGGCCAGTGGCACAAGTGCTTGCCTGGCAAACACAAGGTGCTGAGTTTGATTCCTGGAACCAAAAAAAAAAAAAAAAGATATCAAAAACAAAGTCTCCTGGCAAGCACAAGGTCCTGAGTTCGATTCCCGGTACCAAACAAAAGAAAACAGACCGTCGTTGCTGGGGCGTATTAGTCAGCTTTCTCCTTGCTGGACACGATAGTCATAACTCACAATTTAAAGGAGGAAAGGTTTAATTTAGCTCACGCTCTGGGACAGTCATGCCAGAAGGGCACCGTGGAGCAAGCTGACTAATGACGGCCAAACAGCAGAGCAGGTGTCCAGCACCAGAGAGAACTGGCAAAGGACGTATACACAGGACCTGAGGCCATGCCTCCCTGACCAGTCAGACACACCAGAAAGCGTGCTTGACTAATCCGCTAGGCATTCCTTAACGCCATGAATCAGTACAAATTCAGGATCCAGTGAGGCCACCTTTTGGAAGAACCTATTATCTGCATAGATGTATGCATTTCCCCCTTCTAACCTGTTTTGGCTATTTTGGGGCCTTTGTATTTAAAATTTTACAATGAGCATGTAAAAAAAACCTTAAAAGAAGGGGGGCAGTTGCTAAATTTAGGTAAAGATTATATCCAATTCGGAGATCAATTTACCCGGGCCCAAAGTATTGAGCCCGCCCATCTACAAATGTGGGATGACTCAGTTTATAGATACCTTCTTTGCATTCTTTCAACAATGCTTGTATTTTTCTGTGTGCACGACATTATTAAATTGTTCCATATATTCTAGTATTTTAAAAGCTGCTGTGAATAGCACTTTAATTTCATATTCAGATTGTTTATTGCTCACATACACAGATACTCTTGACTTTTGTGTATTGATTTTTGAACCCCATGATCTTGCTGGTCTCTATTATGAGTTCTAGTAGTGCTTGTGTGTGCGTGTGCATGTGCGTGTGTGTGTGTGTGTGTGTATATTTATCAGAAATTCTACATATGAGAGCAGGCATACAAAGAAAGACTCTTACTTCTGTTTTTCAGTGTGAATGCGTTTTATTTCACTGTGACTGATTTGATGTCCCTTCAGTATAACGTCTAATGAAAGTGGCAAGATCCCGCATCCTGCCTTATTGTGGATCTTAGGGAGACAATATTCAGTCTTTTAAGATTGAGTATGATGTTAGCTATGGACTTTTTATGTCATTTATCATGTTGAGGGTATTCCTATTTATTCTTAGTTTGTTGAGAGATTTTTATCTTAAATATTTGATGGATTTCTGCATTTACTGTTATTGTTGTTTGTCTTTATTTTATTAATGTGGCACATTCCTTTATCTTGCATATTAAAAAAACCTTACATATCTAACATAACTCCCACTAGATTGTGGTGTATTATTGTCTTTATGTGCTGTTCGGTTTCATTTTCTGATATGTAGCTGAAGATTTTTGCACCTATTTGTCATTTTCTTTTATTCTTGTGCCTTTTGCTTTGGTAACTGAGTAATATTCGCTTGACAGAATTAAAGAGGAACTGTCCTCCACTTCTTCGTTTTACTTTTCTAGAAGTTTGTGAAAGGTTAGTATTATTTTTAAAATAGCATTCTTTAAGTATTTTAACAGATTCCACAAGTGAAGTCATTTTGGTCTGAACTTGTTTTTGTGATGATATTTTAAATTACTAATAGAGTTTACTTGCTATGTCACTGTCCAGATTTTCTGTTTTTCTTCAGTCCTCTTTGATAACTTGTGCCTCAGAGTTTATATTTTATGTAAGCTGTTTAATTTATTGATATAGTATTTTCTTAAAAAGGTTTTGTTTCCCACGTGATTGGTAGTGACATTTACTCTCTCAGTCTTCTGAAATTCATGCCTTCTGTCTTTTCAGTTTAAAAATTTAGGTAAAGGCTAAATCCACTGTGCTTATATTTTGGAAGAAAGAACTTTGGCCTTATTGGTAGTTTTGTTTATCTGTGCACTCTTCCATTGATTTCCAGTATGATCATTGTTCTTTCTTTCTGCTTGCTTTGTGTTTACCTATATTCTCTTTCCCTGATTTCATAAAATTAAAGTTTAGGGCAATGATTTGAGGCTTTTCTTGTTTCCTTGGCTGCCACAGGCCTAAATGTCTCTCTAAGCACTGATTTAACACATTTCCCTAATTTTAATATATTTTCATAGCCTATGAGTCAAAACTCTTTTCTCTCTTTCTTCTTCTTTTCTTTCTTTCTTTCTTTCTTTCTTTCTTTCTTTCTTTCTTTCTTTCTTTCTTTCTTTCTTTCTTTCTTTCCTTCCTTCCTTCCTTCTTTCCTTCCTTCCTTCCTTCCTTCCTTTCCTTTCTTCCTTTCTTCTTTTCTTCCTCTCTTCCATTCTTCCTTTCCTTTTTTGCACCAGGAATCAAACTCAGGATCTAGTGCTTGCCAGGCAGACACTGGTGCTGCTGAGCTGTATCCCTGACCCTAAAACTATTTTCTAATATTTTTTTTTTGGTTGTTTTTTAAAATTTTTGATTAATGGATTTTTAAAAATATTCAATTCAATTTTCTTTCAGACTAAGTGTTCCTATACAGTGTCTTTTAATGAACCTATTTTAAAAAGTGATAAATAAGTCTGATTTATCAGTTTTTCCTTTAAAGTTCTTTCTTTCTTTGAATCTACAAATATTACCAATCACAAATATGTTCTAGATTTTGCAATAAAGTCTCTAGTTTTAACTTA